GTCTATCCTGGCACTCGCTCTAGAGACCAGGCTGGCCTCGAACTCACAGAGATCTGCCTGCCTCTGCCTCCCGAGTGCTGGGATTAAAGGCGTGCGCCACCAACGCCCAGCAATAGTTGTTTAAATATATAGATTTAAGTCCAGTGTTTGGGGAGTGTGATCTCTTGGACCATTAAACAAACCAATACTTTTTAGGTGTTTGTTTTTTGTTGGACCATGCAGGTGGCCCAAATCAAAGTTAATCATTTTGTACTGTCCAGGCCAGCTAAGGATCTAGACATCAGGAGTCTCTTGGACTTAAGAGGAACCTTTGGCACTCCCAGCCTTGTTGACTGGTTTTGCTTGGAATCATTTCCTGAGTTGATTTGTCCACCTGTGTGGTCTTACACATGATTTCCTTCAATTCCTAGGACATAGTGGTTCACAGCCATCTGTAACTCCAGTTATAAGGGATCTGGTAACCTTTTCTCTTTTTTTTCTTTTTCTTTTTTTTTTTTTTTTTTTTTTTGGTTTTTCGAGACAGGGTTTCTCTGTGTAGCTTTGGAGCCTATCCTGGCACTTGCTCTGGAGACCAGGCTGGCTTCGAACTCACAGAGATCCGCCTGCCTCTGCCTCCTGAGTGCTGGGACTAAAGGCGTGCGCCACCAACGACAGGCTTCTGGTAACCTTTTCTGACCTCCTTGGGCACCACACATACACATGAAGCAAAGGGGTCTTTAGCAGCTATGTCATCGAGAAAAGAGGCTTGGAGACACCAACAAGAAACAGCAGGCACTTAAGACCCAGAGGGACCCACACTCCAGTGTTCTGCACAGGTGTGGTGATTTCTGTCTCCAGCTGTTGTAGCTGCCTGCTGGAAACAGCTTTTAAAGCACCAGGTATTCTGGTTGTCTGGGTCCTGCTTGGGAATCTATGCTTTTCCAGACTTGGTTCTGGGATGCTGCAAATTCACAGGAAATTTCCAGGTCTGGCCAATTCCAAGTGTCATCTCCCTCTGGCAACTAGCTAGTGCTACAGACACATACATGGCTAACTCTTAAGTCTCCTCTAGAAACCAATAAACATAATTAAGCAAAACATTTGTCATTTAAAAACAACAACAACAACAACAAAAATCTAACATGAAGGTCTGCTATAAAAATGCATTGACCTTTAATACTCAGAAACAGGCCATATAATTAGAGCCTCCCGTTTCCATGATCCCATTAGGCATCTAGGAATATGAATACCAAAACAGCGTGACAATCCTGAAGGTTCAGTGGTATTAGAAGTTTTATGGATACCATTTTGGTTTATGCCATGTGGTAGCATTAACCAAGACTGTGATGAAGTCATACGTCCTTTGCCATCTTCACTGCATCACTAGCCACAAGGTAGCATGTCATGTGGCTGTCTTCATCTTGATATCACTAATCACAATGGTGGCCAAGTCAGTTTGTTCCATTTTGATAATGTCACCAGTCAAAACGGCAATGAACCACATGCTTACCTTTTGCTTGTGGTTAGCTCAGCCCAATAACATAAACACATATGCCACCAGGGCACAAGTCCCCAAGAGATCATGCATCTCAGATCAATTGTTGGAACATACAGTGTATTTGACCTAGGAATGGAAACCCAAGTAGCAAACCAAACAAGAAGGAATAATTCCACGGTGTCAGCACAAAGAGAGATGAGCTCATATGTGTTACTATACAAATTTTAACTGTCAAATGTCAAGAGATGTCATTTGCATCATTGTAAAACAAAGCACACAGCTGGAAAACACTTTATTTTCTACTTCATATAACATTGTTCCAGACCACACGACTTCAAAGGTATCTTTCCCAAAACGTTTTATGATTTAAAGGTACCACTTAAAAAATATTTACTGATGCTATAAATATTATTTTTCCTATATATTAATGATTTTAATGAATGCCATATCAATTATATCTCTTGCTCCTTTGGTCAAAAAGATAAACAGAAACTTTAAATCAAATGTTTAGACATTCAAAACTGTTTTTAAGAACACATACACACAAATCAAATCCATATCACAACTATTATTTCAAAAATTACACAATTTAAAAACAAATTTTAAATTTTAAATAAAAGACATTAGTGGCCAAATTAAGGAAAGTTTAGCATCAGATTTAGTATCTTAATTTTTAGGCTATTCAGAAATATATTTTGTGAATAAGAATTATTTCATAAATATATATGTATAAATATAAATAGGTATCTACAGAATCTGTGGTGCAGGAGGAAATTCTTTAAAGAAAAAAATTGCACTTTCATATTTTTCAGGATGTTGTCAAATTTATACTTCAAGTGAGATACAATTATCTAGGTGCTTTTGGCACAAGTGTTCAGGTGAATATTGACACAATCTGAAAAAACATGTTTATTTGCGAAATATGAAGAACCAAACAGAATTCAGAATTGACCAAAAAAGTCCCAGATAACTGCAATTACTTAAATACAAAAAAATATTATTTTAAAAAGATTTTAAACCTGCCTTTCTATTTGGAATGTATAAAATTTCACTAGTTTTGTTTTTTCCAACCCCTTCAGCAAGAATTCCCAGCTTAATACAATTGTAACACCATCTTTCAATTCATGTACAACTTGGATCACACCCCAGTATACAAGGACAAAAAATAAATGTACAATAAAAAGATTGGATAAATGAGGAGAGGCTTTTTGGTCTTGAATTCTTCACCTACGAGTAATGAGGCAGCACTGTAGGCAGCCCAAAACACACCAAACAGCTTAAAAAAGAAAACAGGAGCGTGTTAGCAAATCAATCAATATCTTGGGTATCACAGAGAACATTTACAATGTTTTAAGAAATAAATCCCCAAGTGAGACTTTTTTTTTGGGGGGGTGGGAGGGTTTGTCCTCGAACTTGCTTTGTAGACCTGGCTGGCCTCAAATTTACAGAGATCCAACTGCCTCTGTCTCCCCAGTGCTGAGATTAAAGGCGTGAGCCCCACCATACCAGGTTCATTTTTAAGAATATTCCCCTTACTCTGTTCCCTAACTTCTGTAATTAAAAAGAAACCCTAATTGTAACAATCACTCTAAGGAGACACTTCAGTCAGGCATAGTGGCACTCACCTACCACCTAAACTTAAGGCTAGCCTGGACTATAGTGAGGTTCATGGCCAGCCGTGACTACAGTGTCAGACTGTTCAAAAACAAAAACAGTAGCAATCTAAAATACAACACACATACACAACACAAAATCTTTTAAAAGGCCATAACCATGTGACCTGGATGTAGTCCATTCATACAGCACACAAATAAATGAAACTTACTATGTACACCAAGCTGACCCCAAACTCAGAGACTGAACTACAGCTGTTTCCTGAATGTTAGGATTAAAGTGCTATGCCATCATGCCCAGATTAAATTTAAGAGTTTCTAAATGCCTCCCTGAAATGCCTACAGATTTCATAATTTCTGGTGATAGGAGGTGGGGGGATGGAGATCAAGAACAAAAGTGTTCAGTCTTTTAAACAAGTGTCCCTAGTGATTATAATATTATTTTTTTTGAAACATTGTTTCATTCAGTATTCCACTGTCCTGGAAATCATTACTTGGTTCACGCTTGTTTTTCAATCTACACCACTTGCCTCAGCTGCCTGAGTGCTATAAGTATAAATTCCCAGAGACACCACACCCTATTGATGATCTGGCAGCTTTGAAAAAAAAACAACTATTTCTGCCAAACTGCTGAATAAAATGATCCCTGAAACAGAGTTCACAACTTCAGTTAGAACTGTATACATTATTATCATCACTGTTTTCCTAGGCTGAGGAGGAGGCACACCAGGCTGTACTTTAGTGAAGACTAACTTCAAACTATCCATGTTTCTGAGGGTAACTTTGAGTTTCTGGTCCTCCTGTCTTTATCTTTATCTTCCAAGTACTAGGATTAAAGGTGTGTGCTGCCATACTTGGTTTTAGTCAAATTTTAAATATACATACCCCTCGAAAATCTGTCTCATGAATTCTTAATAGTACTAAGAAGATATATTCAAAAAAATTTAAAGTATGATTATATTATTCTGAAATTTTATTTGGTCTCCAGTCTCCCTGAAATGCCTACAGATTTCATAATTTCTGGTGATAGGAGGTGGGGGGATGGAGATCAAGAACAAAAGCAAATTGGTAAGTGTCTGTTTCCAAATACCACTGTCTTAGGAAGCTCTAGGTTAAGACCAGCATACTTTCATACAGAAAACAGTCAGCTGTATAATTCATACTATATAACTTACTTTTATAAGTGTAGACACCATTTCAAAAGATCCAACCACCAAAAGTACCGGGGCTATTACAATGAGAGGGAGTAATGAATATCCTATCACTCCAAGCACTTGGCCATATGCAACCTGTGAATGTTTAAAATGGTAAATAAATATCATAGAAATCAGAATACTTAATCACTTCTCAATATCATTTTTTTTGTTGTACTGACATAAGCATGAGAATTAAGAAATTATACCCAATGTATTTCAAATTGTCACCTTGTCTTATTTCAGGGCCTTTTTACCACAGCATTCTCCTCTTTCTCTCCCTCTCCCTCTCCCTCGGTTTTTTGAGACAGGATTTCTCTGTATTGTTTTGGAGCCCGTCCTGGAACTTGCTCTATAGACCAGGCTGGCTTCGAACTCACAGAGATCCGCCAGCCTCTGCCTCCTGAGTGCTGGGATTAAAGGTGTGTGCCACCAACACCCGGCAACACCTGGCTTCTTACCACTGTATTTTCAACATGCTTCAGTTTCTTGGTATTCAAAATCCTTATTCCAGCCCTAGTCTCTAACTTGAGGATTATGTTTAACCACTTATAATTTTCACTTTTTTTTTTTTTTTTACATTTTTTTTATTAGTTCAAGTTGGGAACAAGCTTGTTTCACATGTAAATCCCTTTTCCCTCTCCCTCTCCCTCCCCTCACCCCCATCCCTCCTCCCAATTTTCACTTTTGACAATGCTAGGAATTTAACTAAGGCCTCCAGATTTGAGCTATACCACAGTCTTCAAGTAAACATTTAAAGATCACCAGAACTTTCTCTCATTCAAGAACTAATCAAGCCCCACCATACTGAAGTTTCAAGACCAAACAAGACTGTCATGTTCAAGGTAGTAACATTATACACAGAACTAACGTTTTCTTGCTTCTTTGAGACAGGATGTATCTATGTAGCCCTGACTACCCTGGAACTCACTATGTAGACCAGGCTGGCCTCAAACTCACAGAGCTCTACCTACCTCTTACTCCTGAGTACTGGAATTAAACACACACACCACACCTGGCAAAAGTAATGTTTTCTAAATGTGTGATGTTGCAAAGTAATTGCATGGAATAAAAATATCTATTGAGAGCAATTTATTTATTTATTTTGTTGGTTTTTCGAGACAGGGTTTCACCGTGTCTGTGAACCACATGCATGCCTGGTGCCTGGACACATGCTGAGCCTTCATGTGGGTGGTGAAAATAGAACCCAGAGCCTTTACAAGAACAAGTGCTCGCCGGGTGTTGGTGGCACATGCCTTTAATCCCGGCACTTGGGAGGCAGAGGCAGGCGGATCTCTGTGAGTTCGAGGCCAGCCTGGTCTCCAGGGTGAGTGCCAGGATAGGCTCCAAAGCTACACAGAGAAACCCTGTCTCGAGAAAAACAAAAACAAAACAAAACAAAAAAAAATCCAAGTGCTCTAAATTCTACTGAGCCAACTATCTGGAACTCGTTTTGTAGACCAGGCTGGCCTCGAAATCACAGAGGTCCTCCAGCCTCTGCCTCCTGAGTGCTGAGATTAAATGTGTGCGCCACCAACGCCTGGCCCCAGAGTAATTTTTTTAATGACAATTGCATGTATATGTACAGAAATTCCTAACTGGAACAAACTTTTACAAAACTACCACTCACTGAGCTTTGGAATAGTATCTAGGAATAATATGTACACTCACATGAAAAAAGCTAATGAAAATACCCTATATTCCAGCTGTTCAGCCATGTGAAGTCTTGCTTTCTTCATTCACTTTAACAAAAACTAGACATCATAGGGCACTGCTAAAGAAAGCCGGTCTTAAAAGCTGGCTTCCATAAAATCATGTGTTAAAGCTACTCTTCTGACATTCCTGTTCTGAAAAAATATAGCCCTTAGCTTAGCTATGCAAGACCCTGTCTCAAAAACACAATCTATTTTCTAATAGGGTAATTACTGATAAATATAAGGAAATCTCTATGGCAACTGAGAACTGGTTTGAGAACTGTTGTCAACGCTATGCTTCTTCAAAGAGCTATATAGCTGTATATTTGATAGTGGGAAGTGATCTTTCTTCTTCTCTTCATTCCTTGTATTTATCAGGTAGATTTAATATCTATATCAACCATCTGAAAGGAACTAGTATAAATTAAAGACAATTCCAGGATCAAGAACCATTTATTGTCATGGCTGGGCATGGTGGCATATGCCTTTAATTTCAGCACCTGGGAAACAAAGGCAGGTGGAAATCCATGAGTTCAAGGCCAGCTTGGCCAACATAGTGAGTTCCAAGACAACCAGGGCTATGTAGACAGACACTGTATCAAAAATAAAAACCACAACAAAAAGAATTAGCCAGGTAAGGTTAATTTACTAGCCAGGTATGGCAGGTCTCACCTGTTTGAGGCTAGTTTCATCTACATAGCAAGTTCTAGGTTATTCAGGGCCACATAGTGACACTGTCTACAAAATAAACAGACAAATAACAAAGAGGCTGGTGAGAGGGTTCAGCAGTCATAAGCATGTTCTGCTCTTGCAGCACACCTGAGTTTAGTTCCCAATACCTGCCCAACTCCACCTGGACAAGGTCTGATGCCCTCTTCTGGAATCTATGGACACCTGCACTCATTTGTACATTCCCTACCTTTTAACCTCAGAACTAAGGAAGCAGAAGCTGGCAAATTTTTGTGAGTTCAAGGCCAGTCTAGTCTACACAAGTGAGTTCCAGGGCTATATAGTGAGCTGCCTAGAAAACAAACAGAACAAAAACAAACACTAAAGAAGCTACCTTTCAAAATTAAGTACTTGATGGGAGTTGGTGGTATATGCCTTTAATCCCAGAACTCAGGAGACAAAGGCAGGTGAATCTCTTGAGTTTGAGGCCAGCTTGGTCTACAAGAGCTAGTTCCAGGTTCCAAAGCTACACAGAGAAACACTGCCTCAAAAAACCAAAAAATAAAGTACTTACTTCTCCACCAAGAACTCTAGCCAGTAAGAAAATTGTCAGTGAACCAAATATCCAAATGGTTATAATCCATGAGACCACCTTAACAAGGAAAACAAAAAATCATTAATTAAAAAAAATTCTAATGAAACTACTAAGTTTTCAGAAATTGAACTCTCTACTACTTCAGACAGCTTAGCAAGCCCCATTTCAGGTCAGATGTTCTATTGGTACTCAAGCACATTTCCAAACTTACAAATACAAGGTGTAATACAAACTTAAAACCAAACTGAAAGTTTAACAATTACTAATTGCTTTTAGAAACTGTAGTATTTCAAGATACAACATAAAAGGTTTTTTTGTTTTGGCTTTTTGAGACAGGGTTTCTCTGCCTGGCTGTCAAGGAGCTCCTCTGAGAACAGGCTGACCTTGAACTCAGAGATCCGCCTGCCTATGCCTCCCAAAGGCACTGGACCAGTGATAACTTTAAAGAAGATAAAATGTTTACTATTAGACCCTGGCTTATCACATATTTCAAACAAAATCCATTCCAAAATAAGTTGTTAATCTTCCTAAGAAGTTTTTAAAAGTTGTATTATTATACATTCATGTAATTACTGAATATGATAGACATGTTTGTAATTTTAACTCATATATATATATATACACATATATATACATGCAAATACATATGTAGTATATACTACATACATTTATATATATTTAATACCTAGGAAAGTCTGCAAATAATAGTCCATTAGAAACATAAACATGTTGGGCCAAATAGTGGTGGCACACGCCTTTAATCCCAGCACTCAGGAGGCAGGGCAGGTGAATCGCTGAGTTCAGGGCCAGCCTGGTTTACAGAGGGAGTTCCAGGATAGCCAGGGCTACATAAAGAAACCTGTCTCTACACCAAAAAAAAAGGGAAGAAACATAAACATATATAAAGAAACATAACCATTGCTAGATCTTGGTTTCCTCCTTCATTGTGAACAAGGCCTCATGTTGTAGTACAGGCTGGCTTCAAACTCACTGTGCAGTTTGGGATGGCTTCAAACCTACAGCAGTCTTCATGCCTCAGTCTCCCACTATACCCACTTTCCAGATTTTGGTTTCTTATATTCCCTCACTAGAACTGACTGCTTCCCAGGCAAACAGTTTATAAGTGCCTGCGGACTTAAAAGAAAGGCATACTCAAAAGTATGCAATGTGGTGGCAGGAAACAGCCCAGCTGATAAACTGCTTGCAGACAAGCGTAAGTCTTTGATTCTGATGACCCACACAAAGAGCTGGGTGAAGTGGCATACACTTGTAGTCCAGGCACTGGGAAAGTGGACTCAGAACCTAGCTTAACTGGCCAGCCCCAGGTGTAACTCACACTGGGTATGACTTTGACTCCTACAGAATTCAAAACCTCTGACTTTCCCAAGTACCACACTCCTTGCATGTGGTGATACCTTGTTTGTACTCTTAACAAATCTTGCCTTAAGATCAGTGGGCAGAACTAGCCACTAGTTAACCATATTGGTCTGGAGGTCTGTACAGATAGAATGCAAATGGTATGGCTAGACGGAGAGAGGAATATAAGGCAGGAGACAATAGCTTGACCTCTTTTTAGTCTGGAGATTTAGTAGAGGTAAGAACTCTAGTAGCTGGCTGTTCTGCTTCTCTGATCTTTCAGCTTTCACCCCTTAATATTATTAAAACCAGTTAGAATTTCTCCTACACATACACATACCCGCACACATATACATACATACATACATACATTTTTTTTTTGAAACAGGCCCTTGCTATGTAGACCTCTACCTCATACATACACATAATTACAAATAATTAAATTAATCATTAAAAATAACTAATAAAAGCAGAGCACCAGAGGCAGGTGAATCTCAGCCTCCAAAGCCACAGAGAAACCCTGTCTCGAAAAACCAATAACTAAATAAATAAAAATCTAAAATAAAATGTGAATAAACTGAGAACTAATCCCAGGTACTTACTCCTTAATTAATCCATTATGAAACAACTTCAGGAATGAACAAATAAGGAGAAAATGGACAAATGGAAAACTTCTCTGAAATATTTTTATAGTAAAATATGTGATTATACCTAGTTTCTGAGTCTCATAAAAAGATTTAACATTTGTATAAAATAAGGTATACTTACCCTAAACTGTCCATATAATGATATCATTGAAAAGAAAAGGACAACAGCCAGTGGACCCCAAAAGTCAGGATTGTCTCTCACCACTTGTCTATTAAAACCAAGCGATGGCATTGGCATCAAAACACAACGAATTTTGTAGTAAATATCCTTTAGGTCAATGTCCAATTCTTCCCTGTAATTTTAAAATAAGATTCTTAAACAACATGCAATTTTCGGGGCGTTGGCGCATGCCTTTAATCCCAAATCTCTGTGAGTTCGAGGCCAGCCTGGTCTCCGGAGCGAGGGCTAGGATAGGCTCCAAAGCTACACAGAGAAACCCTGTCTCGCACAACCAAAAAACACACACACACACACACACACACACACAAAAACAAAAACAAAAACAAAAAAAACATGCAATTTTAAATAGTACAGCAGGTTTAAAGAACTGTATATTTAAACTAGACAGTACGATGTGCATAGTCAACATCCGCATTTGAAGTAAATATTAGACTCATTCCATGGTAAAATATCTCAATTTTAGAAACGCTGAAACAACTCACCATCTCACAAAGTGCTTCCAAAATCTGCCTCTGAGTACTAGATACAGGTATGTGCCACCTTGCCTGGCCGACAATTAAGATTTATTTCTTTACTTCTTTATTTCTTTCTTTATTTATTTAGGGTTTCTGAGACAGGGTTTCTCTATGGCCTTGGAGGCTGTCCTGGAACTAGCTCTTATAGACAAGGCTGGTCTTGAACTCACATAGATCCACCCCTCTCTGCCTCCCCAGCCCTGGGATTAAAGGCGTGTGCCACCACTGCCCGGCGTGTATGTGTGTCTTTCTTTCCTTTCTTTCTTTTACAAAGTCTTACCAAGTACCCTCGATGGCCTGGAATTAAAAAAGACCACCTGTCTCTTTCCCCAGAATGTTGGGATTAAGGGGTGCCAGCAGAGTGGATCTATATCTTTTTTTGCTTGTTTGTGTTTTTTTGTTGTTTTGTTTTTCGAGACAGGGTTTCTCTGTGGCTTTGGAGGCTGTCCTGGAAGTTGATCTTGTAGACCAGGCTGATCTCGAACTCACAGAGATCCGCCTGCCTTTGTCTCCCGAGTGCTGGGATTAAAGGAGTACACCACCACCACTGGCAATGCTTCTTTTAAAGATTCACTTGTTTATTAAGGTGAGTGTGAACCTGTGTGAGTACATGAACAGGAAGGTCTATGTGTGGGTGAAAGTGCCTGTACACATTCACTGAGGCCAGAAGAAGCGGATACTATTCTCTATCATTCTCCATACAATCCTTTTGAAATAGGGTCTCTCCCCGAACCTACCGCTCAGGTTTTCTTGGCTTAACTCCAGATGTTTTTGTTTCTACCTCTATCTCTTAAATACTGAGATTACAAGCATGTAGTACAAAGCCTGGCTTCCAGCTTTAAAAATTTTAAAGAGATTATCTTTTTTCAATAAGTGTTTTATTTGCATGTATGTCTGTGTAATACATGAGTGCCTGGTGCCCTCAGAAGTTAGAAGGGAGAATGGGATCCCCTAGAACTGGAGTTACAAGCAGTTGTGAGCCACCATGTGGATACTGGAAACAAAAACCCAGTCCTCTACAAGAGCAGCAAGTACTCTTAACCACTGTGCCATTTCCCCAGTCCCCATTTTAAAACCTCCTGACATCCACATTCAACAGGTTGAAACATTCTTTCCTTATTGGAAAAAGTTTTTAAGTACTAGTAAAATTGAAAACAGCAACTGTTTTTAAAGACTTGTTTATGTGTATGTGTTTGTGTAAGTGAATGTCATGCATACATGGGTGCCCCAAAGGGCAGAAGACAGTGTCAGACTGCCACAAACTGGAGCTACAGGCAGCTGTGTTGCCTAAGATGGATGATGATGGCACTAAACTCAAGTTCTCTGAAAGATCGGGAATCACTCGTAACTGCTGAGCCATCTCTGCAGCCCCTGCTATTGTTTTTCACCCAAAAGGTTAACATTTTCCTCATCTCTCTTTAAGAATGCTGGGCACTGGTGGCACACAACTTTAATCCCAGCACTTGGGAGGCAGAGGCAGTTGGATATCTTAAGAGTTTGAGGCCAGCCTGGTCTACAGAGCCTGGACTGTTACACGGAGAAACTGTCTCAAAACAACAACAACAAAATCAAAGAACATAAGCATCCCACAAAACGTCTTAAAATCAAAAATGACATATTTCTTTACATACAAAAGTGGCTTGTTATCTTCAGGGTCCTCATCTTCAACTTCCAAAAGCCAGCCATACCCTCTTTGTCTCAGAAATGTAGTAGCTGTAGATTCTTTGATAAATTCTCCACCTCCACCAAGGTTTAATTTGACATCTGGAGCTGCTATAGAACCACTGAGATCTTAGGAAAGAAGACAAAACTGTAAACCAGAGTGAAATATGTGAATTTGAACAAAAATGTGTGTATATGTATATACATGTATATTCAAATAATTATAATTTGCCAATTCTTACGATTATTTGCTATTCTATATAATCTTCAAATTTTATCAATGACAGACTTTGTACTACTTTTCATTTTATAATTAGAAAAAACAAAAAAACGAAGATGGTGGCAAGCTAGGTACAATGGTACATTCCTTTAGTCTTAGCACTCAGGAGGCGAAGGCCCAGGTTGGCCTCAAATTCAATACACAGACAAGGATGATCTTGAATTTTTGGTCTTCCTGCTCCCACTTCCCAAATGCTAGGATTGTCACCACACCTCCTATATACAGTGCTGGAGATTAAACTCAGAGCCTCATTCCTACTACCAACTAAGCTCCTACCTCAGTCCTAGACCATACATGTTATAGCACATATCATCCCACCAAAATTCTGCCCCTTTCTTATCAGTTAATTATCTGACAGGCTATATCTTTTTTTTTCCCTGATAGGCTACATCTTGTAAAATACCACCTCCATAAAAATTTCCTGACTTCTGAGGTAGTTTTGTCTAAAACAAAGCCTCACTCTAGTCTAGGCTGGTCTCAGCCTCTCAAGAGCAGGGATTACAGATGTGATCTACCTTGCTTGGGTTTCTCTGATCTAGTTAGGAATAATTCCCTCCTCTTTTAATCTTAAGAAATTCTAAGCCAGTGCTTCTCAAAAAATGTTACTGTGCTTATGAATTACCCAGGGATCATGATAAAACATAAATCCAGATTAGGGGAGATTATACCTATGTGCCAGGTAATGTTGATTCTACTGGACTGCAGACATAAAGCAGATACAGAATTATCTATTTGTGTGACATCAAATAACACCCAGCTACTCTGGAGACTGAGGCAAGATCACACATTCAAGGCAATATTGGCTACCTATTGAGTTCAAGTCCAATATGAGCAACTTAGTTTGATTGGGATTAAAGGAGTGCCCCACCACTACCACCTGGCTCCAAAATAATTTCTAAAGGAGGAAACAAAACATACTTATAGAAATCAGTTTTCAAAGAAAATCTATGTTCATCTCTAGACATTTTCTTTCTCCTTTGTTGAAATAACGTCTCAGTAACTCGTCCAGGCTGGCCTTAAACTCAAAGATCTACCTGTGCCTTCTGCCTTTCAAGAGCTGGGATCCCTGGGGTTCACCATTCATCACACCCTAGTCTCTTAGGCTGAATTTCTAAATCGTAATTGACTTAATTTTTCACATTGGGCAGTTAAAACTGGTCCCTGGAAAGTAAATAAAACTAGAGAGAAACCCAAAAATTACAAGCCGATGAAGAGTCAGGTTACAAAGAGTCCAACGCAGAGGGGGAAAAGCCCATGCAGCAGAAAAATCTTCCCAGCACAATCACTTGATCAAAACAATAGAAGCCAAGTCTGTAGAGGCTGCTGGGGACACGGAACTGAATTCCTGAACTTTTAAATGCTTCTAAACCCAGTTTGCTGAATATTGTGGTCAAGCACTGCAAACTGTGTGGATACCGGGATCTGGGCAAGAAATCAAATTCAGGCAGGGAAGATCCCAGTACCCGGGAGGCAGAGGCAGAAGGACTCTGTGAGTTCAAGGCCAGCTTGGTTTAAAGGTACACTGAGAAATCTTGTCTCAAAAATCCAAAACAAACGAACAATCAAAAAAGAAATGAAATTCAATAAAAATCAAGACTCCTTTGAAGGAAGTTTTCCTTAACCTGCCAAAAGTAACCTCAGGAGAAAGGGGTGGGGGGAGGCTTTTCTATTAATAGCAGAGGAACACGGCCCCACTTTGTTCTCATTCTTTGACCCCTCACTCTTGAGTAATTTCGAGCAGTACATTTCGAAAAGAAAACCCTGTCCGATCGGCGGGTC